TCCTGCAGGACGAGCCATCGAATTCTCGCAGCGGCCGCATCTCTTTTCGCTCGGTTTTCTATTTTAAGTGGTCGCCTTCGCCTTTTGGATGCGACTCGGATTGCAACGATTAAACGGCCGATAGACGAAGGGGCAGAAAAAGGAAAGAAATGGAGAAAGCAAGAACTGAAGGAGGGAAAGAGAGAGAGAGCGCGAGAGAGAGGAAGAGGAAGAGGGCGCGAGAAAAATGGCGACCGGCCGCGGGGAGGACGAAACAGCCGAAGAATCGAGGAACTTACGAACCTGACCGGTGCGCAATTATCGAAACTGGGTCGAGCCACTCTCGAATATTACCGTTTGGCCGAGCACCGAGACAACTCGATAGAAAACTCCTAGCGATTACAAATACAGCGACAACGGGCGGCCATCGTTGCCAAACTCGATGCCGGGCCGCGCCGCGCCGCGACGCGCCGCGTCGCGTCGCGGCAAGAAACACCGAAGTTTGATTAAACTTCCGAATTAGTTATATCTCGCGCGACAGGGCAGGGAAATAACGCGATCTGCTTCTTCCACGGGAACTTTTTTCGCTCGTTTCTCGTGAATCTTAACCAGATTATTTTTTTAAATGAGCTTCCACCGCTAGGGACGACTCCGTTGCAGCGTGAATTCGCGAGTATTCGAACCGGAGGGAAATAGTGCAGCTTTTCATTGTAACACGTTAGCGAATAAATTCTTTGTGTCGGCGGTATTGTCTGTTTTTTTTCCTCTTTTTTCCAGAAATTCGCTGCTTTTGTCGCTTTGTTGGAAATGTCTACCTCTCGTTAGATTTTTGTAACGGAAATCACTGTTGTATTTCTTTCAAACGTTTCTCGGTCGAACGATTAGTAACGTCAAAGGTCTGCCGCGAATTTGAGGACAAATTAATTTTTCTGTTGGTTTCTGCTTCATTTATTGTGTTTTCGCGGGAACTAAGTTGCTTCGGTGTGTATTCGCCTTAAAGCGTAATGGCGCCGAGAAGTCAACTGACCACTCGAAAGAAAGTCGATTGAAGTTAATGGTGGTCTTTACCGAACACAAGGCCACTTGATCCATTTTAGGGACCATTTACTGTAATAATGATTGCAGTCATACGGGCTTTCCAATTTCTGAAGCGATCTTCCGTGTCCGTTTTCTTTTGCGAATGCTCCGAACAGACCAAAGAATTTTATACTTCAGCATCGTACGGAAATTAATTATAGTTCTTTCCGTATAAATTACAGAACGTATTGGGGCAAATGTAAATATTTAACGGAGCGGCTTGCTAACATTTCATTGTAAACGAACGAAATCAAATGAAAATTTCGTTAAATTATTTACGTTAATTTATTGTACATTAGCTTTCAACGGTCGTTGGGAATATGGCGACTGTTGGGCGTCGTAACGTCGGATGTTTAAATTTAATACATATACATTCATTGAGGCTAATAGTTTACTAAAATTTCATTTTCTGGTTCCTTAAATTATTATTGTATGATCTGGCTAATTTACCTTCTGATGGGTGACAGTAAACATAATTTAAATTTGTAATTAGTCTTCAGCCCGCAGCCTCACGTTCCACACTTCATTTCACCATTAAACTGTTTTAAGTGCTGTTCGAAAACTTCTTCCGCCTAATGTGCTTTCCAAGACGTTGCAGATGGCGCTGTAAGCAGTCTGCGAGTAGGTTGCACAGGAACACTTGCATCTGATTGGCCGAATCCATTGTTTTCATGGATTCCCGAAAGATGGCGCGACTGATTTCATTTCACAGAAACAATTGACGATCTTGTTAAAGTATCACGTTGTTGGCCCTAGCAACGTAAATGTCATTTGGCGGTTTAAAGTTTGAGTAGCTCACTGTGCTTCAAAAGTGAAAAGTGAAAACCATTATTGACAAGTGTCATTTCTTTGTGATAATTAAGCACAAGGCTCATTTAAGTACTGCAAAACTAATTTGCAATGTTGTTAGAAGACCCATGACAAATATCAGTTTGTGGAAGATGATTTTCCAAGTTGCAGATACACGAATCTGAAAAGATGCTACTAGCAGGTTAATTATTCATTATTAATATTACTAACCAACTAACTGATGAATTACAGGCAAATGTTACTATAATATAATGTATAGCTTTACTTAGAATATTTTAATCTGAAATGTACAATTTTAGGAAGGCCACATTTACTATTCCACTGCAACAGCTACAGGCAAGCCATCAAAGTATAATTTTACTGCGAACCTTCACTTAGGTTTAAAGTTTAACGAAGTAACATTTATCTCGAGGATTAATGGAACATATAATGTTAGCACAAACACTCGACATAAACCCCGTATTCAACATGAAAATATTAAAATCATAAAATACTCTATGGCAGTATGCTTATTGCATAACTTTCGAATCGTATAAACTTTGATACATCAGGTGCAGGTAATTTAACGCGGAAAATTAGAGAACAAGCTCGCGGCGGTAATTTATGTCGTAACTCCGAAGTACTGTTTCGGAATACATTATCTATGAATATGCAAAATTTGGGCAGTAACGTGTTAAATATTTTACAAGCTGAATAGAGAAAAATATTCAACGAGAATATCGTTGCGCAAGGAAGAGACATTGGGGGCAATAATTGTTACGGTCTTGTTCGGCTGTTTCGTGATAATTTGGGGTTGCGTCAGGAAGGTCCGGTGTTACACGATGCCCAACCATCGAAGTAATTGGGCTAATTGCCGAATGCAATTATCCGGAATTAGTCCGCATAAACCGCTTAATTATCTTAACCGTCTCACTATTTTCATTGTTTCTCAATCCGGTTCTCATTGTTGATTTCGTGTTACTGCGGGCCGCGCCAATCTGCCTGTCAATCTCCATCGAGACACTCTTGCCCCGTTACAATCGATATTCCCCGCGTTGATGGCACCGGGAGCAATTGAAATTCAAATTTCATGATACGGAGTCACATCTTCAGTCTTCCGAGGCCAGGGGAGCTTTTGATATCGAGTTCAGTAGTAACCAACGCTGCGACCTCCTATCGCACAAACATCGGAAAATAAGGAGTTTCATTAAAATTTCTCTAATATCCCCTTGAAACATCAACGAAACTAACAGCTCCCGGTTTGAATATTTCCATTATCAAACGCAATAACCTTCTTCCTGATAACCAACGCTGCCTATCGCACAAACATCGGAAAATAAGGAGTTTCATTAAAATTTCTCTAATATCCTCTTCCAATATTGACGAAATTAACAGCTCCCAGTTTGAATACTTCCATTATCAAATGCAATAACCTTCTTCCCGATGAATTGTGTAGTATACTCTCGATTTAAGAAGAGCCATTCTTGTTCTCCAAAATGGCGTCCAATATTTGAAAGGAAAGGCGGGTATTCCGCGCGGAGCGTAGTTTCAGTTTATTAAGTAATAGAAAATGAAACCGATGGAACTACGGTGCAGCATTGAACACGACGTACCTGCAGTTAATTGAATACTTCTTGAATTCATTCTCAACGTCACGATATCGATCGCAAATTTTAATATTACGATGAATAAGTCCCGCGGAACGTAACAGTCCGCCGAGTAATCAATTCCGGCGTTAATTAAAATCGTCATTGACTTCTTTCAAGAAATTTAAGGCGGGGGAAGGAACGTTTCCGTGACGTGCCACGGAAATACATTAATTAACGCGCGCATTGATCGCGCAAATAGCGGTCTCAATGAAGCAGTCGGCCGGCTTCTACTTAGACGGGTCTCGTCGTCGGACGGAAACAAGTTACCGCGCCGGGTTTTCCGTGGTCGTTGGTTAACGGCGCGCCGCCCCGGTTCGCTGCGATTGGCCAATTAAGATTTACGCTTTTCGAGGAATGACGGGCCGACACGACGATACTGCACGGTTCGACAGTTTTCCTGAATTTATCGTTTTGTCGTTTGTCCCTGCGGCCGGCGTTCCAGCACGGCACGACGCCTCGGCCTTTCTGCCCGCGGATTTATTTGCTATCGCGGCACAACATTCGGAACACCACAAAAGACGCGATAGCGATACATTTTTCAATGGAACATACGAGACAAATCTTCTGCCCCTTTTGTAACTCGTAGCATGCATTTTTTACATGGTATTCATTGTCCCGCGACTTGTAATTTGAATTTGTTGTAGACCGCGGATGTTCGTCGCGATGTTTTATTGACCGGTTTCGTATGATTCGCGTCCGATGGAAATTTATTCCCTCTGTTAACTGCTGCAATAGCTTGAAAATAATATCAGGATCGATGCAAGTATTTTAACGCGTTTTCCCCGGTACTTCGCGCGGTGAAATATACGAAGGAAACATGGGAATGTAGAACGATGAAGCAGCGACACAGCTAGCGATGTCTTCATATTAAATCACACGAATAACCATTTAATTCCGTCTACCGTGGTTTGATTCCTTTTTTCCCGTTCGAAATGTATCACACGATGACTTTTGTTACTGCAGTCCGAAGCGGTTTTATCCCCTCGTAAAGTCGTTTCATCGTTTCAGCACTGACGAGGCTAATTTTGAGAAAATCTCTTGAAAGATTTTACGCGGCGTCTTCCGTTCCAACTTGATTGAACGACATTGGACTGTTAGAATCCGAACTACCCACCGAACATTTCCGAACTATCTTTTCATACCTAATCAGCGGATCATAAACTTTCTGATTTCACGTTCACAGTCTCTTACCGACGGTTCCTCGAGATTGGTTCCTAATAAGATTAAACTATTTCAACGGATACTATAACTACATAATATCACCTTCCACGCGCCACGGCGCGGTACAATAGCCGGCACACGAATTTCCCAAAGCACGAAACAAACAAGCTCGCAAGAAAGGAACCCCGGTATTCAAAATAATTATCCCCAAACCCGTTTATCGATCCGTCGCGGACAAACCCCGTACTCCCTTCCAAGTAACAGAAAAGCCGAAGTCGGTTCTAATTAACGTCGCGGGACGTGTTAATTAATTTCGCTGACCGTATTCTGTGGTTATTGTTACAGAGCAACAGGAGCCAGCCAGCCATCGGCCTGAAGGAGATGCCGAAGGTGCGGGTAAGTTTTTCCACGAGTATTATGCATATACAACAGCTTGCAGCGCAGCCGTTGCCTCCTACACAGCCCCGCCCCCGCAGGCCGCCCGTCAGTTTTTGCGGCACAAAGACCGAATTCAAATAGGGTGTCCGCGGCAACGATCCCGCTCCAAACTAGTTAGCAAGAGCTCGTTAGAAGCTCCCCCGATCGATGCACACGACCGAGTTTCGCCGTACTTTTGGGCAAACAACTTTTCAGCCGAACCCCCAACCCAGCCTCCTGCTTCTTCGGCCTCCTCGAGGGAAGTTGAGATAGGTGAACGCACCCCTTCCCCTCCGCCAGGCCAATCCCCCTTACTCTTTTTCTCCCCTACCCGCCTATTGGATATATGTCTTCGGCGAGCAGCGAGCCACGAAATCGCTCAAGACGGGGCTGCAGGGGGGAGCGTATAATTTTACGACTTTAGTTTTCGCGGTTCCCCCGTGTTCGCCGGCCTCTATTTGCCGACAAAAGTATCGGCGGGAACGACGTCATCATCCGGATGCTCGCTTGTAATTTACGGCCGCGGAATTGCTCGTCGCGGACCGCGCGGCAGCCGAGCATTAACCTCGGTTATGTTTTCGTTCTCTACGATGAGCGGTGCCCACCTGAACTGGATACCATTTACTTGATAGGTATTAAACTCCGCGGTGCTTCAAGTCTTAATTGGCGCTGGTAAGTTGCTCGCAAACGCTGTTATTACGTCGGATTGTTTAACGCAAGGTGGAAACTTGATCGGACAAACTTGGAATCGTTGATGGGTTCCGCCGGATGATGGAACAAGTCGGAGTTTTTAAGTTCCGCGAACACTTTGCGTTACATTAACCGGATTAATCATTCGATACCAGCCGGAGCTAACAAGCTGTGGTTTACGAGCACGCGATACAATGTAATATCTAATTAATAATCCATTGGCGATTCATACCTTTGCTGAATTGTTAACTTGATACCGACCCATGATCGATTGCTATTAATTAGTATTGTTTATCGGTGCTTGTTTGTAATACCGGTGCGCGTCGATCAGCGTATAGAGTATTAATGACTGAGTGATTAGTGTTCCCGATGTAACAGTGGCATCCGTGTTTATCGAGGGTTTCGTTTGCAAAACTGCATTGTATAATGTATTATAGCCATATTCGACTTGTTGGCGAATGATGATGTTTGTCTGTACAGTACACTTATGTTGCTATAATATTATAAACCCACTGATTCATTTATATCATAGTTTAATTCTTCTAACTTCCACTAACCAATCTTATTATCGCCTCCCCAGTGCCATTGTCAAAACTTCAAGTATAAAATAAATCGAAGCTATTCATCAGCCATTTGCTTCGAACCGCCGAAGATCAAACTAACGCCTGAATTCGAAGCTTACAAATCTCCGCGAGAAGTGAAATGTTCGATGAGCTCTTCGCCGTTAGTGCCATCCGTCCGGGCCAATCAAACGATGGACAGAAACGCTCGGGCGATTTCCTTCCCGGTAAAAAAATCAGGTCCGCGCGTTCAGTGACAGCGCGACGGGCTCTCGCGGAGGCTCCGTTATGTAAAATTCTGTTTGTGTTGAGCGACAGCTGGCAAGAGCGCGCCGGGCGAATGCATACGGGCGAACAAAGCCACTAAATGACATACTCGCCCCGCGATCTAGCTCCGCGCACGTAACACCGGGACGCTTGGTTTTTAATCCCCACTGGGCCTACTTTTTTCCCCCGGCGGAACAGACAGGGAACCGGAGGGCCGAACAAAAGGCAAAAACGCCCGGGTATCTCCGTCCCTCTCGGTCATTGGAAAAATTGTCGGGGAAAACAGGCGGATCCAAGGCTCGCCGGTGAAGCTACCGGTAGCCATTTGACGGGACCCGGCCAGCCATGCGCGAGCCAACGACGCGACGCGACGTTTCGAATAAGTTATTCGCCCGGTCGAGTGTTTTTATAAAACGCCCACCCGCGCGGTAACTTCGTAAACAAACCCCCCCAGCGCAATTATAATGAAGAAAGTTTCGGTAATTACACTTTTGCCGTGACTGACCTTGTTTCTCTGTTGTAAAAGCCATTTTCATCGTCGTTGCTAACTAACATGGGCACACGTCGAAGTGACATTCGCTGGTTTTGTAGAAATGAAGGGTGGAAAATCGTGTATCGAGGTAGATGGAAATTAATTCACGAAAAAGGTACTTAACACCTTGCTCTCGTTGGTCGTTTGTGGCTTTTCTCAGATTATTATCCTAGGAGCGAAGCCTTTTTCAAGGACTCCTCATCGCTTGCTTTTCATAAATGAGAACAAAGACATTAAATGTCAAAAAATATTTCAATATACATAATTCCACACGGTAAATCCATTGAAACAATATCCCATCGAATCGAATCCATCGGAAGCGTATTTGTCAACAAACGAAGTTTTGGGTCCAAAATTTGCCTCATTAGGTGTCCAGAAATAATCGTTCCGTCGTCGATGGCGCATAGGAATTAACCCAGATCGCATTACTTCCCCGGCACGTTGAGGACTCCGTCGCGCCCGGATCGGGAACCCGATTGTTATTCTGTTTCGCCTTGCCCGCGTGTCCCCGGCCTCCGCGCAAATGAAACACGGCGAGAGCCGGGAAACGGGAAGACGGGAACGCGAGTAGTAACGCTGCGAAACGACGTGAAATCGCGCGGTGCAATTTCGTGAGATTGCTTGCCGAGGTGACTCGTCCGGAGGACCATCCTCGCGGAAAAGAGCTTCCCGGAGGCAGGAGGGTGCTCGTATCTCTCCCACCGCCGGGTTTCCACGAAAAAGGAAGCGCGACCTTCCTCTTTCGGGGGAAGAAACGCGCAGCCAGCCACGCGGTAGTCTGTCGGGTACGATCCGGATCGTTGTTTGCTCGAGTCCCTGGCACACGTCACTTATAATTCGCCGCTTCCTCGGATCGGAAATGGAACGGCGCTCGCGAACGTTTCGAATTTATCATGCGTCGAGAGGGGGATGAAAAAGTATCAGAATTCTGGGACGAGAGGTACGCTCAGATTTCAGGAAATTTTTTTGCGAGCATCGAGGCAAATTTGTGACCGAAATAATTTTGCAATTATGGCATGGCAAAGAGATAAATTAATGCGTTCCGAGTGGTTTGAACGTGGAAAGTTTATTAAACGTTTGATGATTTTACGAACGGTTTTTTTGTAATTACGTGATTTGCTGTAAAAACGGATATATTTAGTTAGATTTTGAAGTCAGGTATTACATGGTACAACGTTTGTTACGTACGTTGAATATTTTGTTAGTAAACTTGGCGTGTATGATTGTAGAGTGCATTGTTATTAGAGCACAATAGCAGTAACCGCCATTTTGTATCTGGCTGGACTCCGCCATTTCCGAAGCAGTCCGACGAACATTGAAGCGTCTGTGAATGATAACTACTATGAACTCGATGCTGATTTACTAGAGGATGGGGTGAGATTATGCCCCGAAGGTTCGACTAACCTCCTATGAAATACGCGTAACACGCGAAACAGACGTCTGCGGTAGTATGGCGGACTATACAAATTTCTAATACCTATTTATATGCTAATATCGGTCGGATGCTTTCTCTGTATGGAAGTTGCTATTAGAAGGTCTTATATAATACTGATGATACTGAACCAGACGTTGGAAATAATTGGCTAAACATTTACGGTTCTGTAAATTCTTCAACGTTATAATGCGCTCTGAATATTCTCGTTCATTATTAGTGGTTTATTTCGGAAATATTCTACGAGATTTACGTCTCCGAATATTTTAGAATATCTCTTTCAATGAATATATTCATTATTATCCATTGAGATTTTTACAGATATTCGAAATGCAAGGTAAAAGGAGAATAGAGATCGAAGAGGAACGTAGAGAATAATAATGATTATTGTTGAATGCTCAAGAATTACTGGGAAATATTGAATCGAAGCTTTTAGCCTGTTAGTCACGTTCCTCGGAATTTTATGCGAGCTTCTAATGGAAATTTATTGCAGGGAAACAACGGAGATGTTAATGTTTCTTAAGGCTGCTCGCTCGTGCATTTACACGGGAGAGTGCATTGATTTCTAAATTAGTCGAAGTTGCGGTAAATTCTATGAAAACATTTAGTCAATATGTTTATGACACGATCTTAATTCTGTTTAGAAACGTATTAATTGATAAACGTCGTCTATGCGTCGTACAGTTTGATTGCTTTCGGCAGCTGACGTTAATTAACAACCATATATCTAGTAACATTGGAGATGGTGGATAACTGTGCAGCTATCACAGTTCGATCACTTTCCGCCTGAATTTCGCTTCCTTGATTCCACGTGTTTCAATCCTTGTCGGTCTTCTAATTAATTTACTACCACCGTCGCAGTTCCGGGTTTAATGGGTATGTAACGAGATACCTGGCTGTCAAAGTCGTGACTGAAAGTTGAATTGTAACACCGGAATCAGAGTTGCTGGCCGATCGGGAATGATAAATAAGCGCGAGAAACATCTTCAAATTTTCACTGACGCGTGGAATGAAAATCGATTTTGAGGAAGAAGTTCCTGACGATGCATATTGAGGTATTCGCACGGTTTGGTCGGGAAAAAGTCCATTTTAAAAATTTGATCGAACATTTATTGTATACTATTACATTACACTCTCACATTTGCGTGCAAAAGGTCGATGTAAACCTGTCTTTAATTTTGGCCGCTCAGATCGGGCGAATACCGCACTGCGCGATGCGAAGTATGAATCAAGAGGAATCAATTATATTTCATGGAATATACCGAGGAATTTTATCTCGATAAACTTCGGTATAACTTCGTTAGCGTTTTAAAGCAGTTTATTAATTCCGAAACTGTTCGTGACTTGCAATAAAAATTTTCCAAACAATCATGTTTCAACTAAATTACACCCGCGCGGAACGTGATTTTGATGAACACTAAAATTTCCGCTTATAAACGTGCACATATCATCGTTAAAGCAAACTGCCCGCAATTTTCGGGTAGCAGTTTATTTTACC